ATAGACTCAACACTGTCATGGACTCTGATAAAATTATGGTATATATCTTGATAGTAAATACACTAAAGTTATGAATCTTGCTAGATATTGGAATCAGGATCACTGATTGAATATGGTTCTCCTCACCTTCTTGTCAATCAACCATCATCTTATCTTTGTATGCTAGTAAATAAGAGTGGATCAGTTAATGCAAAGAGGTTGAGAAGCATGGCATTTGATGCATATAAAAAAAGCTTAGAAGGAAAAAAACTCCAGAATAAGTCCAGGAAGAGAAAAATGATAATATCAAATGCGTAAAATTAAATTATTAATCATCTTCATTTTATTTTTTATTTCAGTAGCTTGCATTAGCAATAATTGCATTGTAGTTTTTTAGGTTTTGTCTTTACTTATTATAGACTTTACTTTTTCTTGTCATCCTAAATGTGATTTGTACTCTGATTTTACATAAAATATTGTTTTGGATTTAATTATACTTTACGCAGAGATCTCTGATGCAGAGTTTCCTACAAAGCATGCAAAGTGAGCTAAACAGCATGCTTCATGAGCTGACAATATACATGGCATTTGGTGCAACTTTAAAATTCATAAAAATTCAAATTTGATTTGAATCATCTCAAAATTTATACACATCATTAAGGCATGTTTATGTATTATAAAAATGGAGAATTTTTATTTGATTACACTCAGAACAAAGTTGTGAATAACATATGGACCATGTATGTATCAGAAAAATTATAAAAATAAAGAATTCTCTCCTTGTGATTTTGTTATACTCATTACATGGTCTTAATTTTTGACAATATACTGACAGGAAGCTGTATTGCACTATACCAAAATCCTGTTGGAAACCCTGCTCTGATAAGTGTTTATGTTTCACAATAATTAATGACTGTTGGTATAGTCCACTATTTTTGCACAGTCATGTTGAAGCTATAAAATAATCGTAGTCCAAAAACAACTGTTAACCCACATAATGCCAAAAAAAAATTAATTAGCAAAAGTACAAAAATAACATTGCCAGATTACCATACAAAAAAACAAGAAAAAAGCCATGGATTTCAAGCATATTCTCTACAGATTATTACTTACCACTGTACTAGTATCACTATATTCAAGTGGTCATGATGAGTGCACTTATTTAAAAAATTCAGCATTTTTAATGTATCATCTCGGTTTAGAAGGGAGGTCTCTTTTACAACCAGGTACTTACTTATGCCTTATGGGAAATTTATCTTATAATTTGAGTGATGCAAATTCTTCCTTTTGTTTGGTTAGTAATGTTAGTAATATCACAATACAGAATGCATCAGCAGATCTCCCTGCCAATATTACCTGTTCAAAGCTGCAGCCAACTGGTCTTGGCTTTTATAACTCAAGTGGGTTACGAATTGAGAATGTTAACATACATTGGTGTGGAGGGACAAGGCCCTCCCAGGCTTCTGTAAAATGGCTTTACCCTAGTAATGATAGCTCGTTCTACTTTCCTAAAGATCAGTTGATAACACTGCTTTTTAGTCAGCCAGTAAATGTTACACTTTGTAATGTATTCATTTTTCATTCTGATGGACGGAGTCATGTACATTAATCCTACATTTTATATAATAAAAAACAACTATAATTTGCAATTTTAATAATACATTGTAAAAGAATAAAAATTAATGGGAAAAGCCAAAATCTATGCACTAATATCAATAATAAAATCAATTCCAAGCTCAATTTTCATAGCTTCAATCCATTTCTGACGCAAAAAATTGGCAGCATTAATATAACTGCCTCTAACAGCAATAAATGAGTTCAAAAACTTCTTGCAATGGTCTTGAACATCAGACATTTTATCCATAAAGTGAAAACTAGCCTTGAATTCTGCAATGAACTTGTCCATGCTACGAGTCTCTCTGACTTCATCACTAATAAGACCAACTTCATATAACTGATTAGCAAGATCTGACAGAGATGTCGTCAGGCAATTAAGGCGAGCGTGGTGAGACACAAGAACTTTATCAATCACTTTCTTTACTTTATTGACATCAAAATAAGTAGATGATGAACCTAATGATGTCAAAGGTCATATGCATGTATACACAGTTACACACAGTGTTGAACTTACTAATTCTACCAGTGGATGGTACTGACATTGATTCATGTACTACAGAGGAGGCAGTAGAATAAATAAATAAACAATTTAAAATCAATTGTACATGTATCTATATTACCTGTTGAAGGAGGAAGTTTTCTCCGTGCTCTATGAACAATCAATGAAACAGGATCAGCCACACCTTCCAGTGGTATGGAGTAGTGTAGTGTAGGAACAGCAATAGGTGAACCGTACACTGATATCAGACAACAAGAAGGACGAGAATATTCTTTATCGCCAAAATTATCAATGGCCTCTTGATACAACTGCAACATATTAATGAGTGTAAGATAGTAATCTTGACTTACTCTGCTAGGTTTAGTGTGAGCTTTAACAGTCCAGCCTGTGAATGGTTCATCCTGCTGTGCAGTAAGGTTTAATTCAATATAATCATAGGAAAACTTAATTTGAAAGAAAATATCTGGTCCAATTTCAGCTTGAGAATGCTTCCGCTCAATATACTATTAAATAATAATCAACATACTGTGAATATAGGAATACATTCTTACTTGAATGAGTGCATCCAATTTCTTAGCTGCAGTAAATGTAACTAGATCTTCTACACCTTTTTCCTCATAGTAAATCAGTCCAGCATATTTCATATTCTTCTGTACATTAGTAACTAAACCTAAAATCATTAAATCAATTGTTGATATGATCATTATTGATGCTCACTATTGGCATATTTAGAACTAGACTCAGTACAAAGCACAGCATCAGTAGCTGTTTCTATATGCACAGGATCATCCTTATGTCCTTCCTCTTGTCCTCTGTCTCCTTCCTGATAATCTCCTCCTCCTTTCTCTTTAGGTTGCCCTCCTTCTTGCTGTTGTTGTTGTTCTGGTAATTCTGATTGTTTTTGTGACTGCCTCACTCTTTGTTCTTCTCCTTGTTGGTTTCCTCCTTCTTCTTGTAGCTCTCCTTCCTCTTGTTGTACTTCTTGTGACTGTTCCCCTTGTTGTTCCTGGATTTGTTGTTGCTGTTGCTGGGTTAGTACTGTCAGTGCATCTCCTCCTTGTTGCTGTTGAGCTGGTACAACTTCTCCTCCTTGTTGCTGCTGGCCTCCTCCTCCTCCTCCAGCCATAGATACTATTAGCAATCCCAGTATGCACACTAAACAGAAATCTTCACGCTTGATAAATCCATACCCACCATTAGAGCTAAACTCTCCTCCTTCAAGTATTGAGAACTGGTAAGGAAGACTGGGTGTGTTGACTGGAGCTATAGCAAATTTTAGATGATGACTAAGAGCTGGTCGTCCTGTCAAATCAATGCAGTGCTGTATTTCTAATATGAGCCGTTTGAGGAGAGGCTTTGAGAGTGATACTGCATACACAGCACTGACTAGGACAGTATTAGGAGGAAACTGGAACTGTCCTCCTACAAGAGCAACCACTGCTGCTTCTACTGTATCAAAGGGCAGTAAGCTGTCTTCTTGTACTCCAATCCTTAGGCCATATTTCTCCCAATTCATCAATTGAGGTTTGTCTCCTTGAATTAAGAACAGCTTCTTCTCTGCTACCTGGACATCACTCAGACATTCCAAATTATCTATCAATTGTATACAGTCAGTCACACCATTATAGGCTATTATAATACTCTTACCCATTGAAGGGATCAGGTAGTTAAATTGTATTTCTTTGGAACTACATGTAGTCTCTTTGATGGATTTTTTCTCTAAGGATGTAACTCTCTCCTGTAGTTGCTCCCTCTCCTTCAATAGTTTGGAAGTATATAATTCATTATCAGCAACTTTAGCTTTAAGTTCTATATATTATTTGATATGTGTACACATGGATGAAAATATACTCGAATCTCGAACCTTCAGTGATTTGTTTCTCCTTGAGATACTGTTCCTCTACATGTTTCTTCTCTTCTTCCATTTGAGTTATATAAACTTCATTATCAGCAACTGTAGCTCTAAGTTTCTCATTATCTTCTACATATTAGTAGACTTAACTAATATACTACATGATAATACACAAACCAGTAATAATCTGTTTCTCTTCTTGTAATGCTTTTAACATTTCTTCAAATTTCTCACTCAAAACTAATTTAGTGTCATCTCCTTTACCTAAATAAAATAAAAATAATCATAACAATATTAAATTACATGTATATGTACATGCAATACATTACATATACACACATGTACATGCACCTTGCTTATTGGCCTCAATCAGTGCCTCCTGTAGTGATACTTTATTCTGATGAGCCACTTGTAGTTCTTGATGTAAAGATTGGATGTATCTTTGAAGCTTCATTTCCTTCGCTGTGGGATATTCCATTAGCTGATCTATCCACCATGTTCTGGTCTTGTTGTATGATGAATACTTTTCTTGATATTTTTTACTAGTGAGATCATTACCATCCAGTACTGACTGTACTATCCACTCACCAGCTTCAATATATTGCACTGAAAAAATACAGTAGGTGGGATAGTGATAGTTTAATCATACATACCTAATTCAATTATCATCATTTGTCTATTAATATCATTGATCAATGTAAGCAGTAAACTCTTAATACCTCCTCTAACATCTAGCACTTTAATCTCTTCAAACCCTCCAACAATTACTAGCCACACACAGTTTGGTGACATTGTAACTGCTGTGAGTGAGTGGCTGTATCTGCCAGTAACAGATTCAGGTAGAGGAACCTACAGATAAAAATTATTTTAATGTTGTCATTATAGGCTCTTCTAGATGCCATCATCAACTGACTAATATGCATATTAACCAACATGCAAATTTGCATACCTTCTTACAACTATACTGACCAGTGGTGATATTATCAAATAATAAACAATCATTCACTAGTTGACTGTTATTAACCAGACCACCAATCACTACTAGTGCAGGTGAGGTAGAGTCACCAGTAATAATAGCACTAGCATGATCGTATCTCCCCTTAGGTAAGAGTCCCTTGCCAGACATTGATCCTTTTTTAACACTTTCCCAATGCTAAAAATTAACATTAAGGTTATAATAATTATTTGGTTAAAAATTCTAATCTTTACATGTAGATCATTGCATTAGATTCAAAAGCAATTTAATTAATAATTATCATACAAATGATAGTCATAACATTAATTTAGAGATTAAAGACAAGTAAAATCAGTACAGCTAATTCAGCATTTTAAAATCTTGCCATAAGAAATTGTTAATCTATTCACATGCCCATACCCATGGTAATTCTATGGCTAATCATCATGTGCATGGCTATAGCAGGAACTTACAATTGTATTATGTGTGACATTAAATATGTACATAGTATTTGTAGAATCACCATAAGCTACTTGTCCCCCAAACATCACCCCTTTGTTTTGATTTGTTTTGTTAATTGCAATATTACTAGTTGGAGGACAACACTGTCCACTAACAGATGGAACAATAAATTGTCCTACAAACAAAATACATGGTGACATTGGCACAGTTAGAATAATGTCTCAAATAGAGATAATAATGTAATAATTGCAACTCACTATTAGATAGATTATAAAGTAATTGTTCATTAGTACGAACAAGGTGGTCCTCAATCTGCTCATATTGAAACTGAGGATGTTTGACAGCTGGTGTAGGACCATACCCTCCAACCATAAAAAGGTAGTCAATTCCATCAAATTCCAGTGATAACATTCCACCGTAGGCTTTCTTCATCATGGACTCATCATCGGGATGCAATTGAGTCCAGCTCATGGTTAGTGTATTTAGTGCATTTAAACTGTTGTAGTAACTATCATCATAATTACGCCAGCCAGCATAGTAATAAATGTTAGAACGAAAGGTGGTACAGGAGTAGCCAGCAACTCCTAACGGTGGAATACCTCTTGCTAGGTGAGAGGAGCAGAGGCCTGATGAAAGGGAAAATGTCTCAACCACGTTTGAATCATAAGCAAGCTGGGTCCCAGCCCACAAGTAGAGTGACTCTCCTATTACTGGAGCTGAGTGATGACCCCTACCTTTCAATTCCAAATGAGTGAAAACAGAATTATACAAGAGAGAAACTCACTTTGTCCATCGCGAGGTCCGTCGCCTGGTACAGACATAATTATTTAGAAAGAGAGGCGTGGGTTGCGGTAGAAAAGGTGTGGTCTTAAAATTCATTTTTAAAATCCAAATTTAATAGAAATCATCTCACATTTCCATGCAATTTTGAATGGGTGGGGTCAATGAGACACTGACAGCAATTTCACAAAGTTGATGCATAACATAAGAACATGCATGTATCAGAAAAATTATAAAATTGAAGAATTCTCTCCTTTTTTTGTTAAAACTTTAATACCCTATACTATGCAGTACATGACCTTAATTTTTGAACAATTTGACAATCCACTGACAAGAAGCTGTATTGAGCACTATGCCAAAATCCTGTTAGAAACCCTGCTCTAATAAGTGTTTATGTTTCACAATAATTAATGACTGTTGGTATAGTCCACTATTTCTACACAGTCATGTTGAAACTATAAAATAATCATAGTCTAAAAACAACTGAAAACCCACATAATACCAAACAAAAATTAATTATAGCAAAAGTACAAAAATAACATTGCATGCATCTTTCAGATTACCATACAAAAACTTGACAAGAAAAAAGCCATGGATTTCAAGCAGATTCTCTACAGATTAATACTTACTACTGTAGTAATATCACTATATTCAAGTGGCCGTGATGAGTGCATTTATTTAAAAAATTCAGCATCTTTAATGTATTATCTCTGTGGAGAAGGGAGGTCTCTTCTACAACCAGGCACTCACTTATGCCTCCTGGGAAATTTATCTTATAATTTGAGTGACGCAAACTCTTCCTTTTGTTTGGTAAGTAATGTTAGTAATATCACAATACAGAGTGCATCAGCAGATCTCCCTGCCAATATTACCTGTTCAAAGCTGCAGCCAACTGGTCTTGGCTTTTATAACTCAAGTGGGTTACGAATTGAGAATGTTAACATACATTGGTGTGGAGGGGCAAGGCCTTCTCATGCTTCTGTAAAATGGCTTTACCCAAGTAATGACAGCTCGTTCTATTTTCCCAAAGGCCAGTCAGTAACACTACTTTTTAGTCATTCAGTAAATGTTACACTTTGTAATGTATCCATTTATCATTTTCATGGATATGGAGTTGTGTACATTAATCCTTACAAGAGCCTATCAATGATCTCAGTCAATATATCTGTGAGCAATACTAACTGTGGTGGTGGCACTGGACTACTTTTATACTTTTCAAATTACACAACTAATGAACCAGTTATTGCTAACATATCTGATGTAACTCTTCAAAGCAATATAAATGCTGACACAAAAAGGCCTTTTTCATCATCGAACTATCCAATAGCAATTAACACTCTTGCTTCCTGCACTACATTATTGTTCAGTCATGGCAATTACCAAGCATCTGTATTCATTAAAAGGAGCATATGGAATGGTTGTTATGGCAGCTTGTACAATGTAGCCATCATTGCCAGAGATGCACCTATTGGAAAGACAAGGGTAGCTTTTAGAAATGTAACTTTTAATGAGAATCATTTTATGAACTCTAAAGTTAGTGTAATAGGATGCTCTGTTTCATCGTCAAGGCACAAAGAAAATGAAAGTAGCATTAAAGTGAAAGAGAAATGGAATTTCCTTAGTATTAGGAATGGCTCCTTTAATTTTGCAGATAAATCAATTTTCAAGATGTATATGTACACTGTAAGTGATCACTTTTTCTTTCAAGTCATTGTTGATTCGAATGTTGAGGCATATGTAGCTATTGCTTTGCTGAATATTTATTGTAAGAGGATTTATTTAAGCTATCGCTCATCAATCATATTTGCAAAAGTAACTGAAGGTGGAAAAAATGAACAAAAAAACCTTTTGTTAGAACTAAAATCGTTCACAGTTGGTACTTACCACCGCATACCTGCTTCAAAAGTAAGAGTAGATGACATTGGAAAGATGGTCTTTGTCAATATAGGTAATGTCACCATTTATGGTAGCAATATCATGGAATGCATAAGTGGCTCAGTAATACTGGCTTGCAACTCTGACATTTATTTATATGGCAGCATATTGTTTGTCGGTAACAGAGCAGCAAATGGGGGTGCAATCAGACTTGAGCAATCATCACATTTGTTTCTTCTTGAACCAACAAATGCAAAGTTCATTAGAAACACAGCCTTTTTCTATGGAGGAGCTATTTACTCTTATGCTGACAGAAGCTTGCCATTATTAAATTCACTCTGTGCAATTCAAATTGTTAGCAACAAGACCGATGTTTCGGACATAAACATAAAACTATATTTCATCAATAATACTGCTGGACTTGCTGGGAATTCAATGTATGTGTCTCCATTATATGAATGTCATCAATTAAAATCTAATTTTAATACAAGCGTATTATATCATGCATTATCACACTTTGTGAGTGGCAATAAGATATCAAATGAAATAGCATCAGTAGCAGTTAGCACACAATTATGCTCAATGAATGAAGAGGACAAAGTGAAAACTAGCTACCAGTTTTATCCAGGACAAACGCTCACCATTGGACTCAAAACTGTTGACCTAAACAATGCCTCAAGTTATGCACAAGTTTTGACAACACTCACAACAAAACTTACATACAAAGTTTTTGAATATGACTTGGACATATCAAACCAACTGAATCCTAAACAGCGAATACAGGTAGTGTACAGTAACAGTTGCACTCCTCTTCAATTTCAAATACTCCCTCTTGTAAACAAGAATCATTCAGAGCGAGAAATTTTACTCCGGTTTGCAGTATTTGGTTATTTTTCTGTAGCATTTGTCAAACTAGAGCAACTGGATTGTCCACTTGGATTTGTTCACAATAACAGAACCAAATCTTGCATTTGTAGCTCTTTCCTTGAAGTCCTTGGCATCGCACAGTGTAAAATTGATGATACAAAAGTTTTGATACCTCAAGCATCTTGGTTAGGCCTAGTTAAAGCAAAGAGTCAATTATCATTACAGTATAGTCTTCATTGCCCTCCTGGGTACTGTAGAACAGACACAAGGGAAGTCAATGTGACTCACACTGATGATATATGCATAAGTAATCATGCTGGCATAATGTGTGGACAATGCCAGAAAGGATATAGTAAAACACTCTTTTCCTCTGACTGTTATGACTGTAACAATGGCATCAAAAATTTTAGCCTTTTAGCAGTAGTGGTCAGTAGTGTATTGTATGTGGTGCTTTTATACTGTTTTAAATTCACCATCAATGAAGGAACAATAGGTGGCTTAATATTATGGTATGATGTCATAAGTCTTATACCATCTTTAGAACTCTTAATGACGCATAACAACATATTTAGGTACATTCTCAATGGAATCTCATTCACAGTATACCAATTGAGCACACCACACTGCATATGGGATGGTTCCAGTACTACTGATGTTATGTTTTTTGAGTACCTCTGCTCATTTTATTTATGGTTCCTGGTCATAACTATAATTTTAATCAGTCGCTGTTCAACAAAAATTTCTAATCTAACTGTAGGATCCTCAGTTCAAGTCCTAGTGACTTTAATGTTCATATCCTTCTCAAAGCTTCTTTCCATCTCTCTCAATATACTCACTCCAGCTCGTATACACCAGTTAAGCCCTGATGGTAGCACCTCCAGTAGGTTAGTATGGTTCACTGATGGCAGCGTTTTATATGGCAAAGACCCTGTTCATATTGTATTGATGTGTACCAGCATTGCTGTCATCTTGTTTTTTGTTGTTCCTTTTATATTTGTTGGATTGTTTGGTGTCAAATTGTTTCAATTTCGATTCGTGGCCATGTACTTACGTCCATTCATTGAAGCACTCCATGGTCCTTATAAAGATAAGCACAGGTATTGGTTTGGTCTAATGTTGATCATACGTACACTTGTACACATCATTTCAGCATCACTTGATAGCAACAACACTACACTGTTATTGATAGTTTTCACAGTCATAATTGGACTCTATGTTCTTGGATTGAGTCTTATAAAACCGTACAAAATTAAGGTCCTCAATGGATTAGAAATATTGTTTGGTATCATTCTCTTGGCAAACCTGATGGTCTCTTTGTCAGCGAGTAGCTTGAGTGTTGTTGAAATTGTAGCATGTGCATCAATTAGTTGTGGAGGAGTGCTGTGCTGCATCATATTAGGCTATCACATACGTATTGGTCTTAATCGCAATCGCTGGATTAGGAAACTACTGGGACAAAAATGTTGTACTAATTGTAAAAAGGATGAATATTATGAATCTTTGCTACCACTTATTGAAGAAAACAGACATTTAGAATATTAGTTGCCTGTTTAAAGAACTATGACTGTAGATTTCATTAGATATAGCTGTAACAGCAATGTGTGTAACATGTACTATTATTGTTAGAGTTAGTGCCAAGAGTGTAGTATATTGTTATAATTAGTGCCAAGAGTATAGAGAGTGCTAGATCAAGTTTATCATAGTATATAGTTTATAAAATAGTTTTTTTTAATTTTTTTGTTAATGATTCTCACTCTGATTACCAGTTGATGAGGTGAATGATGTGAACTAAAACAAAATAATGAGCCTGAATCACAACTTAATACAAATCAATGAAAGAATTATGAAATGCTAATTTGGTATGACATGGGCTGACTGTATAGTAGATACTGCCTATTTTGTAACAGCAAATGCCTGTTATGCACAGGGCATAACAGAAGTTTCAGCAGATTTGAATTTTTTTTGTGCCATAACCACTTTTTAGAAACTCCAAATTTTGAAAAAATACTCTGTAGTGTTGACCATGCCTTTTTATAAAAATCAGTTCCAAAATAGCCCCCCATAAATCAAGAGTAAATATATTTCAGTAGAATGCAAAGACTAGATATAGATCTAGTCTGAATTTATTAGGATTTATTTTCACTTATTATGATATAAGCTACTACTATAGAACAATACTCCAATAACAGTCACATATGCCAAATTGACCATTGCTATTACACCCACCACTTGGCATGACACTAACAATGCACTCATTGTTATTGGCTAGTACATTATTCACTGTTATTGTTTGGAAGTGCATTATTCTACTACTGTAGGTTGACGGTATCTTGAGGG